TATCGTGCTCCGAATAATTTGATTTTGTTAAGTTTCGGAAAAACTAGGTTCATATTAAGACGGGTGTCAACAGGGACAACAATATTGGAAAATAATACACAAAAAACAATGAGCAGCCGCGAAACAAACAAAACGGTAACATAATAAATAATTTTGCACAAAAACTGAGGTCATAGATTTAATTAAGTCCCCCCAAACGACGTCTTGTTCTGATATACAATGGATGGCCCACGATTTGTAACTTTTTAGGCCACTTAGAGATAGCGTAGGAATTTCCCCTCGGGTCTCGCACATTAGCTTATAATGATTTTCTATTTGGTGAGTTAATTGCCAAAAAAAAAAAAATGAGAAAAATTGAGTATATTTAGTGGTATTTCGAACTGCCATTGACATCAGAAGTCAACCGAACTAGCAAATAAGGGAACCTCTAAGACATTCTTCACCTGTCTAAATCCATCCAAGGATATTAAAAACAAACAAGAAAACGAGTTAAAATATATTTAAAAAAATAAACAAACTCACAAAATCAAAACAAAATCCAAAAAATGTATTGTCATGAATCAAAATGCACTCTTTTCTTCTTTAGGAAAACATGTCGCCTGTCATCAGATGTGAAAACTTCTGGAGGCAGAGTATGTTTTAACGAAACCGGCATATCTAAATTTAAAATGATCGTCAAGTTATAAGTAAGATCTCCAATCCTAATTCTCACCAACACACACTGCTGATCCTTTGCTTCTTCTTAATTTATGGATGTGTACATTGGTATTGGGAGCTAGTGACGTAAACAACATCAGATGAAGCAATGTTATTACAGTTGACGTAATACAGAGTAATTACAATATTGATTAGGCTGTGTGTAAATGAATCACGTGGGGATGATAACGTAATCAAAGCGACAAATATTTAATCACTTGAGGATAATAACGTCATCAAAGCGACAAATGTCTGATGTGTTTGTAATGTGTTAAGCAAGACAGGCTCTCAAGCTGATGTATCAGGGGGTTCGTGATCTCTGATCCATCTTGATGTTAAATTCCAAAATTGGATCAGTTTGGGTTCTAAAAGGCATTTGCTCCTTTTCAATGCGTAAATAATGCTGTTTGAAGTAATTTGCAAGTAATCTACATCTATTAGTAGTGCGAAGCGACCTTCCAAAGGTTTTCGGAAGCAAACGTTGATTGCTTATAATTTGGATTAATTGCCAACTGCCCCCTTTAAATGTAATTTTATCTGTATTTGGCTCCGATGAATGTTCATGAACTAAATCCGGCAAAGTATTTGGACAAAAAACTTTTTACGATGCGATTTGCAAGTCAACAATATCGTATTGTGAACTGTTTCCAATACTTCTTAATGATTTTGTGATGGTGAATTAACAAGAAGCTGGGATATCTTCGTGTGGTTTGTACAGTGTGTTTACATAATAGGAGGTCAATATCTAATCTAATTTGATATTACAAAATGTCTAATAACGATAGTGGTTGGGTTAATGAATGTCGCCCGAAATAACAAAGCAAATTCAAAATTCATTTCAACCGTCACAACAAACAGTAGAAAAGTGTCAAATTATTATATTATTCATTTCCAAAATTAATTGTTATTACGGTAATCTTCAATTCATCATTTACTAATATTACGTTCAACACACGCAATCACTTCTAATAAATAGAAAAGCAGTCCCGATGTGACCATACAACTTATTAAGTTTATTAAGCATAATAAATCCAAACTTATAAAAAAAACCACTTTAAACAAGGAATCAATAGATCTTTTAATTTTTGCGGTGCATTATATCTTATAATTGGTTCCGATTGAGCAAGGCAGTGATTCCTTGGTAAAAATAGTACTTTTGTGATCACTACTTTCAGTACAGAGTCAAATAAAGGAAATGTACATGACCATATAAACCAATTGTTAGTACAATATGACCGGAAGGGTTGTCTGCTGCCTTCAATGATATGTTTCAGTGTGATTGCATTATACAGTCAATTTTAATTCCACAGAGTAGCTTACACGATCTCTTCCTCAAATTAAAATACCTGGAGGCCTTATATGCTAAGAGGACGTTAAGTTATAATATTAAAAGAAAACAAGCTCGCACACTACAACAACAAAATGACCATATATTGAACGACATGAAGTCCGTTTCTTACCTTGCCTCGGTTTTACACGCTACAACAGACGTACCAATTCGTTACACAGGATGTCGGTAGATATCGGTTAATGAAAATTATAGGAAAGTTGCATGGTCATTAGTGAGAAATATTCTATTTCTTTGTGCGATATGAAGATGGATGTTTTTAATGTTCTATGGTTTGCCTATTGTTTCCGTTGTGGTATACCTTGTTCTTATTTGGGAACATGGTATTACGTACTTGAACTGACCAATATTTACATGGTGGGTGTCGTCGATGAAGCAGAAGACGCTTACTCTTCCAGAACACCTAATTTTATTCTCATTTTACTTTTTCAGGAGTCTCCGTGTAAATCATTCTTTTGTTCATATTTTATCTAAGTTTTATTGGATCTGAGTCTAGATCAGATTGTGTTGACATGTTGGTATTTTCTGGACCAAATCTGCCGATTGATCGTCAATAAAATTTACCTTTTCATAATCTAGATCTGTATCTAAATAGATTCTTCTTACCTTGACAAATCATAGAAACATAAAAATGTAAAAAAAAAATTACTAGGGGGAAATCAATAATGATGTTGAGTAAACCGTAGGAATGAATGCTTATGTCTTTAACTAGGTACTACACCTCTAAAATCGAACCTTTGTAGCAAAAGTGATGCGTATTGATTTTCCAAAGTATTGGATAGGTGTTTATCTAACGTCATGCATGTTTAAGTTTGGGAACGATTGAAAAAATAATGACCCAATCAAAAGGAATATAATAACGCAGTCTACAGTATTCTAAGCCACAGAAAACAAACATTGAATTTGTGTATTACTGTAAATGTTTCACCGTATCTTATAACCACCTTTTACCAAAAAGTGGTTCATATATAAATTCCTAACAGTTTTGCCTGTTTAAATTTGAGATCTATTAGAGAAGCAAAACGGCCGTCAGCAGGACATATTCGATTTTAAAAGTATGAAAAAGTTTCTTATCGCAATATCCTGAGAAGTACTCTTTGCAATTTTCTCAACTATGATATACCAAAACCCCCTTTTGCATCGTTTATTATTGGACCGATTTTTAAAAAAGGGCCGATAAACGGATATCTTGGATAATAAAAGTCGTTGGTTATCGCTTTCAATCAGTCCTTGATGGATTTTTTTCAGGCAGGTAATCCTTTCTCCCTTGTGCATATTTGAATTGTGAAGGGTCATGTACATGTTTTTAATTTCTTTTTTATATTGTTTAACGTTCTATGAACGGCTATTGTTATTTAAGTGTGACCACCATTATGTATACGAGGTGAGTGTGTTTGCTATTGTGGTGTGATGGTAGGAACAGATGTCTACATCCACCCTGTCAAATACAAACAACTTGTAAACACTACGTATTTCAAATTAAATAGACACTGGTATGTTACGGTCAGTGAGCAGAACTCAGCTCTTGGTCTCTTCCAGGCCCCTCTTGTATAAAACATCTCAACTTGAGATTTCCTCAAGTCGAGATTTTCTTCAGCTGATATCTCCTCAAAAACGGCTTGTATAAAATTTTCTCAAAGAACAGGAGGAAGGCATCGGCTAGGATGTCCTGAAATTCCTTGAGGAATTCTCATACAAGATATTTTCAAGGAGATATTAGCTAAGGAAAATCTGGACTTGAGGAAATCTCAAATTGAGATGTTTTATACAAGTAGGGCCAGGTCTCCTTAGGAAATAAATAGTTGTTTAGGAATTAAAGGAAATATCTTATACCAAGGAGGGGTTTCCATACTGAAAAATTTATGAATTTGCTGAATTTTGTTGTTAACGGACAACCGACTTTAACTCTTATTTTGGCCATTGGCTATTTTCGCCCAAGCTTAAACAATCTTGGAAAGGATTATACATATTAAACAATTGCGTAATTAATTTTAAAAAGACTGTCGAGCGTAGTGAACAAAATCGTTTTATTGATTGTGTTTCGTACATAAAGTATGGCACACGTCAACCTTCTGTACGTGGTTTGATTTTCAATATGGCTGTTGTTTTACTGTAGTGAATCTGACAACGCATTACGTTTGGGGAGTGTCTATAATTTGGGATTGTAATTCCTTTTGAAATGTGTTTTTTCCAAAGGCTTTGTATTTCCAGTGAAAAACAGTCATGAACTTTTTACACTTATAAATCTAGGACTTGGTACATGAGAAAAGACGTTTTACTTTTATTCCTAGCCAATATATACCTTTCACTGTTCCTCAACGCTCTACACATATACCTGAGATTACTTCAATTTGATCAAAAAAAAATTACTTTGGAATTTCAATTACGTAATTGGTTGATTAGGCAAATGGGTAATCCTTTAATTTTAGTGAAGTATAAATATTGAATATTATGATACAAAGCCAGGATTCGATCATCTGGATCGTAGGGAAAAAAGACCCGACATCAATGGGGAGTTGCCATTGTTGTGCAGACTTATAGATAATTACTAATAATGCTTTGGACTACCAATTCCACTCTTATTGCCTACGTGTATAATAATCTTATTTACGATTATTTCAGCAGATGAGGCGTATGATAAAGTAAAATGGTTCAAATTGTGTAATTAATGGGGATGATATGCTTACGTTAACACAGGACAGAACATCCAATTAGGAAAACCCTACAATTACTCTCATATTTTCTTGCTGTTATTGACGTGCATACTTAGCATTTTAATATCAGACAGGCCAAGTTGTATGTGACAATCAAATGCTCTTTTTAACCGTTCCTAACTTGACGTATCTCAACATAAACTTTTGCTATTTGGCATTTTACATGTTTTAAAATGAAATGAGTTTATTCACATTTCGAATCACAACTACTATTGTACTTTTCAGGTTTTAACGAAAAAGAAATGGAGTCTACCATTTTGGACAAAGAACGATCTTCCTTCGTGTCGCAAGAAAACTCGACTTACAGAGTGATCACGGACAACGGATCAGAGATGCTAGATCAGAACATGACAGATATGGATCCAAGACTGGTCTGGGAGATAATACAAGACGAAAGTGGAGCATACGTCACGGAGTATACCGACATTATTTTTATCACGTGTTTTGCAGTCCTTATCATTTTTGGCGCTGTTGGCAATGGTCTGGTGTGTTACGTGGTGGTTAAAAACCCTCACATGCGAACACCGAGAAATATATTCATCATCAATCTCGCTATATCTGATCTAACTCTGTGCCTGTTCACTCAGCCTCTTAATCTGTATCGTTTGCTTAACCAGCAATGGTTTCTAGGCGGATTTATGTGTAAATTCGTTGTTATGTGCCAAGGTACGAATGTGTTTGTCTCAACGATCAGTATCACAGCGATTGCACTGGACCGTTTTCAAGTAATTGTTTACCCAACAAAAGATAGTATGAAAAAACTAGGTGCGGCCTCGGCCCTCTGTTCAATTTGGATTATATCGTTTTTTATGTCTAGTCCGTTATTAATATTTGCAGTGTATAGAGTGGAACAGCCCGTTATAGGCTACGATGTTTACTTTTTCAGATGTGTTGAGGATATAACATTAATGGAAGAAAAGGGTGCCTACTCTGTTGCTTCTATGATTGTTCAGTATATTTTACCAATAGCTATAGTCATAATAGCCCATGCAAGAATATGTAATAAATTAAAGTACCGTATGGTTAATCAGAACCATGCGGGAACAAGCTTCCAGAAACGAAAAAACGAGCGACAATCCAGGAGAAAGCGTAAAACCAACATCACTTTGTCACTCATTGCCGTGGTGTTTGCTCTAAGTTGGCTTCCTTTGAATTTGTTTAATATTTTGACAGAATTTCAATTCAGTCATTTCAAACATTTAAATATAAACCTTGCTTACAAAATTTGCCATATGCTTGTATTGAGCTCTGCTTGCACCAATCCTGTGATATATGGTTGGTTGAATGATAACTTCCGAAGCGAGTTCATCAAAGTACTTTCTTGTTGCGTTTGCTGTATAAAGCTGAAGTCGTTTTTCCGACGTTTATGTGGCTGCTGTTGTTCCCCTACCCATGGGGATGTCCCCGTCATCGTTTTTACAAAGGAAAGCACTGACAACAATGGCGCTCTATCTCATATGGATCGTGACACACAAGACGGCTGTTCCGTGACTGGATTGCATTCTGTGACCGACTGGAATTCGCACCGGTCACAAATCTCCCTATAGGCCTCTTCAGAATGACTTGGCGCCGAAATGTGCTGTACGTTATTCTACACAGTAGATATATAATGAAAATGTACCGAACGACGGCCAAAAAAAATCGATATCATATGAAATCTATGTTTTGGAAACACAATAATAAGGAAATGCCGAGTAGTGTAGAACGTTCAATTATATTGATTTGGCTTGATTGAATAGATTTATTCGTTAAATTTTTTTATTTGTTCAAAACAAGAATTAAAATCTCATGATTACCATCTTTGATTATGCATCTTGAATATATACCATCCTAATCCATAAGAAGGAATTTCCACGATTTCTTTCTGGTCTAAAAATAAACAATCCAAGAATTCCATTCAAGATGTTGTATATTCTAAGTGAATATCACATATTTTACATTATGTTTTTTAACCAAAAGTTCTTTTCGTGATCAGTATTCCATTACCATTACAATTTCAACACAAGTTAAAAGCAATAATAATGGTTTTGAAGTCAATCTTATGGCTAATGTAGCATGGGTTTGTTCTACACGTTACATACAAAGCATGTTGAATGCATTGTATAATATATTAGAGTTATAACTTTAGATATAGCTCGCAACTATTTTGCAACGAAAGAACAGCTTCAGCTAGTTGCTGAAATTATGGCTTCCTATCAAATGATAATTTGAGACAAGAACACATCTAACTACAATGGGAGACCCAGAGTACCTGGGTAAAAATAACTTTTTATGTCCGTTCCGCCAATCGTCCTCCAGACGCCGTGATAAAATGATTATATTTCTAGCTTTTGTATTCCATCATTTCAATATGACTTTAGTTCATCATTAGTTATGATGTAGTTTAAAGCCGTTCAGTATTGTTAAGAAGTTACCTTTTCACTTTTGAGTTTAAGGTTTCGATATTAGTTGATATTAAGGACATTCATTACAGTGTTATTTATTCTAAAGGTGACAACATGTACTAGTAAACAATACATCAATAACAAATCAAGTACATAGGTCGTTTACAGTGATCAAGCTGAAGGTATTTCTGTATGTCATACCCTGTACATAACTCCAATAAATCAATTATAGAACAATTACTTTTGTATCTGATGTTTACCTCGTATAACTTGAGGTTATTCAATTTCAATTTGAAACAAAAAAACATAAAACCCCGTCATTTCAAAGTCCCAAAATAAGTACTCTGGACCTTTTGCCTGTTTTTATCGTTTACAGAAATCAATACATGTCACCCCTGTGACCATTAAAGCTGGCCAAGGCCATTCATGTGAAAAAATAGTTGTCGCCACCATATTACACGCAATATCAATATCTTTGGACTTTGGAGTATTCAGACGAGTTGGCTGATGAATGATCGTGTTGCGGTTTATTAAGTTCTCTAACCAGGAATTTTCGTCGAACATGTCGGAAACCATTCTTTCAAATCAGTTATTTTACCTGATTTCTGTTTACATTTTGCCGTTTAATTTTGCCATATCATTGCAATTATCCTCCCGCTCTGATACCATTGGATAAAAATTGTCCCTGTGCAGAATCGAGGTTCGTCTTTCTTGCTTCCTAGTAAGAGGTCACAGACGTGACAAAAAACCTGATGCCCCGACTGTAACATTTTCTGTACATTTTCCCACTCCTTTTATTTCTCTTGACAGCCGTCCTCATACGACCCTGGCTTTTGACTCCATGAAAACAACATTGCTGTGCGTACGCTTGTGTGTTACCTACCATTGTATACATATTGGGATTTCGAGTATATAAGGTCGCACGTGTACATGAGTAACACCCAAAAACGAACATGTTTCTGATTTTCTATATTATTTTCATCAATGAAATAAAGTTTAAAGAAAAAAATCCCTTTTCCCCAGGGTTTCGACTTACCGTTTCATAAAATTGAATCCCCCATTCCACAAGATTTCTGAAACCACATTTGAACAAAATCAGCAGTAATAGTAGGAACAGTTATTTGAATATTCAAACAGTAGACACCATCAATGCAGGAAAGGCACCATATCTAAACATTCAACTCAATTGCACCAGTGGAAACCACGATTGTTCAATTATGTTAAAAATGGCCGACCTGTTTGCCATACTTTGTCGGCTTCCCTGCCTTAAAACAATTCCCATTCTTTTTAAGCTCAACTGGACCAGCGGAACTCAAAAAGAAGTTTAAGATGCGTGGTTCAAGATGGCACCCATAGGTGCGATACATTGCAAAATGAATATAAAATAAAGTAAAATCATTTTTGATTTACAACATTGGGATTCATTCTGTTTAAGTTTCCTCAAAACTCTTTTTTATCTGACATTTCTCATCATTGCTCAGAAATTGTAATGAACGACAGGAGAAAATCGGGCACTTAAACGCCACTATTTCGTCATCGGGCTGGCCATTTTTGAATCGAATTTGGATCATATGGAATAGCGGTATGTTCATATTGTTTTTGTCCAGAGGATACCCTTTTATCAAAAGAAATTGGCAATATAAAACCAAACCCAATTAATAAACATAAACTGCCTGTATTCTAAGCACTGAATATGAAAACTTTGAAATGATAGGAGTAAAACAATCCATAAGCTAATTGAAAACCATATTGTCTTTAGCAATTTGTATGATGTTACTGGTTTTTGTGCGTGTGCATTTCTTTAGTTACCATTTCTAATTTCTGCTAGAAATTACCTGTTTGCATCAAAACAATACAGACAACTACGTTATCTTGAAATGCAAGTGATTGTTTTATTTTCATGTTCCTTTTTATTGCAAAAAGACGACAAATCAATATTCATGATTCCATATCCAATTATATGTTTTATGCTACATGTGATTGCTTATTGGTGTTTTATTTAATGCCTACTGGGGAGTTTTGTTGCTTATCTTTTACATAGACCTAATTACAACTACTCCTAAAACAGATAACAAATATAGCTCTATAAATATAGCCAACAAATAAAGCAATCGTTTTACATAATAACCTCTCAATATTCTAGTTGGCACGACGCTACGTCAGCAACAACCTGCTAAAAACAATCGTTGTCTAATTCGATAAACCTCACTACAGACATTTTCTGTTTCAAACGCGTTTACAGATTGGTTTGTTTTTACTAATATTAATATCATAACCACCTGTTACAAACATGATCATATATAGACGGCCTCCATATGACGGATCGGCAGAATAATCAACCTGTTCCTAGCCTGCAGTAACCATTATTCATTCGTATAGAAGCATCGTTCAGAATATACACATGTAATTATTTTCTTCTAAAATTATGAGATTCATAAAAACTATGAAATACAATAAACTCTGAGGTTAGTGCTGAAATTAGATGTTTAGTTCAGTGTAAATACCCCCAAAAGAATCTGAAAAAATGTTGATGAAGACGAACGAGCCAGAGTGACTGAAAAAATGGTTGACTTGAAAGCCCATAAAACTGTTGCTTGTAAAAATAATATGAATTTAATATCCGCGCCTCCAAATTGTTCAAGAGCCCACATTTTGCTGTCAAATAGCTCTCAGTAATAGGTCGAACCAACTGGACTAGATATGATGTTACTAATAACTTGAAAAGATTCAATACTAAACATAGCAATATGTTTGTTATTAGCTCTATCACTGGTTAACAGTTTCTTGGCATTGTTCGTATCTTATTATCACTCCCATCCAAGATGATGAGCAAAACACATAACACGATACAACCGAAAACTAGTTATGTTTTACATTTTATGTTTAAATTTCAATATAAAACCATCATAAGTGGAGCCAGGTCGAGAGCCTCATTGTCTGAAGAAGTCACACATAGTAATCTAAAGCTAATACAGATTATACGATCAATGAGGAAAATTTGCATATAATAAATATTACCTGCTTGAAGTCATTGAAAAGCAGCAGTGGAGTTATAGAGCTCCAGTTTTTAGGTAAACAAATTCTTTTTCTAATAATTTCATCTACTTTTTTCCCAGTTTCAAACTAACACCTTCGCAAAAGTCAACAAGAACATACCAACATGTCGACTTAATAATAATTTAAACTCAAAGGCAATACAACTAGGGCAAAACATGAACAAAAGAAAGATTTACACGGAGACTCCTGGAAAATTACAAGGAGAATAAAACCAGAATAAGACATTTCGTCAAGCTCGTGCACCAGTGTGGACAAGGTCCTCACTATTATTCACATCAGAAGCTAGTTGATGTAAAAACGCTAGAGCGGACATACAACAATACTTCAGATCATGATAACAAAAACATTCAAAATTGCGGAATAACTCAGTGTTAAAAAGATTTGGAATCAAGCCTTGGATAGACCCGCTTTTATGGCAAACAGATCGGCCTTTTTGTGTTTCAGGATAATAAGTGAGATGCAGAATAAAAAAAAAATAGAAACGGAAATTGATTCACACCAAATACATCAGCTGTCTAGAAGTTCCTTCTCGACGATCACTTTCCCAATGTGAACATTCTTCAATAATGTCCAACAAATATAGTGACTGGGTGGGGAGTGCTGCTAGCGGGACTTTGGCGTTACTCTTCATTGTGGTAGTTCTGTAAATGACATCAAGTCAGCTGTAATACAGGAGACTTACAAGAACATTTCACAGCCTCCCTTTACACCTACAAACTAGGAGGGACGTCCTTTTATGACCATAGCTGTTGACATGACGTTAACGAATACGAATGTAAAAGATTATTTCCTGACGGGGATGACAATTCACGTTTTTGTTTCTTGTTGAGATAACGAAAATGTTTTGAGGAGCTTCTCAGACACACCTTAAAGATATCTTCCAGTCATTATATCTAAAGAAGTTGTATTTCAGTCAAAGCCTTGCTTGGAAAGTTTGCGGGCATTCCAAGAAATAAAAACGTCTGCAACCTGTCAAATCGGTTTTCATTATTTCAATGCTGGCACAGCGTGACTCAGCTATTTATATATGGAGACACATTGTAAATGAACATGCATTTTCTCCCTTTATTCTCTTCCGAGTAACGTAAGAACCTGGAAACGGACGT